GCAATATTGCGCAGGTGAAAGAAGGCAGATCTAGAGACTTGGTTTATGTGTGATTTAAAGGACATATCCTGGTTAAAGAGCTTGAAGCTGCAGCATTTGGCTTTGAAAGAAAAAGAGTAGAATCATTGGAACAATCTTGAAATTAAAAGGCTTCGAACAACAAAAGCAGCTCCGTCTATGTGAATTTGAATCTGAGTTAGTTCTCAAATTACCCCTGGTTGTAACACTACATGTTCTGGAAGTGACAGCTATAGTTATGACTGCAGTAGCCTTGACAGTATGTGAAATAAAATCTGATACATTGCTTTTGTTTAAACTGCTCAAAACCGGTTGAGCTCACACCATTAAATGGTGTTTACCTATTAATATAGCATTAAACCTGAGATTATACATCACTCACAGTAAAGTATAAACTGCATGTTTACATGATTTGTTTTTAATGAGCATTGAAAATGACAATATTACAAGAATGTCACAGCCTAACTCCACCCAGCAATACAACAACAATGCTGTTAATGTATGTTTTCCACTTGGAAAACTGGTGAGGATGTTGACTTTTTGATAAAAACCAATGAGCATTAGCATCATTTTTTTTAGTAAGTACAGATATTGAAAACTTTTTTTCACAGTATGAACATTCAAATGAGTCAGCCAGACACACTTAAAGTCATATCTGCTCGTTTTGTTGAATAGATCTACTGGAATACTGCTGAGTTGTGCTGCCAGGAAACAACAAAAAGTTCAGATTAAGTGTTTTAATTAAATATCCCCAACATCTCACATTACAAAAGGCACAAGGAATGTATAGAGTGGAAACATTAATGTTCAGCAGCATGCTAGTCTCCTACCTGGGGCAAAAGAAACACCTTTCTTATCATCACAAAATTTCAGGTTAAAAATATCGTCTGTGTGGCAGAGTCTTTGCAGTGGGAATTTTCTCCACACGCTGAACCATCCATTCACCATCACTGCGTATTCTGTAGAGGGTCACCAGGGAGCTGGGGCCAATCCTAGCCGACATTGGGCGAGAGGGGCAGCAAACCCTGGATAGTTCACCAGTGTGTCACAGGGCGGAGATGTTGAGGATTTTTAATTAAAACACTTAATCTGAACTTTTTGTTGTTTCCTGGCAGCACAACTCAGCAGTATTCCAGTAGATCTATTCAACAAAACGAGCAGATATGACCTTATGTGTGTCTGGCTGACACATTTGAATGTTCATACTGTGAAAAAGAGTTTTCATTATCTGTACTTACTAAGCTGATGTCAGCTACATGGCACAACAACAACAAAACAAACAAACAACAAAATGATGAAAATACAATGAAACAACTGCCGAGACAGGCAAGATGCACCCTGTCCCTAAAGTCATACAGAAAAGACCAATGAAACAGATAGACAGATGCAAAGTGCACCATGGGATAAAAAGACAACCACTTACACCTTCAGGCCATTTAGAGCCACCAATCAACACACCTTTAGACTATGGGACAAAGTCATAATACCCAAATACAGAGAGGATGCAAATTCCAGATAAAAAGGATTTGAACCCAGAACCTTCTTCCTGGGAGGTAACAATGCTAACCATCACACTACTGGGCCACTTTCTAAGTGCAAACATATTACCCTATTTTTCTCTACATTTCCAGTTTTGCTTCTTGAATAGGTATACTTGGGTATCATCGAACCTGAGTCACACTGTAGTGCTGATCATCGTTTTGCTCTTGATCCACAAAGCCCTGTTACCACGGAGATATAACTTTGGGCAGAGACACACCAATGGAGCAATAGAGAGATCAAGGAAACTCATATCACCTTCCCTTTGAGTTAAATGCTAATGTTAACATGGCATGTATAACTTTTACCATGTTCATGTTAATGTTGCATGTTAGGGACCATGGATGTCTGCACCATGTTTCATATCATTTCATCCAGTAGTTTAAGTAATATTTATCAGACCATCTGACATTAGCGACCCTAAAACTGATTTTGGCTAACTCAAACACATATAACAATGTAATTAAACAATTGAAGAAAAACCCTGAGTAAACCTAGAGGTAATCCCAATTACCCTAACTGACTGTTCCTCACTCATTTCTTGACCCAGACGTTCTGGTTCACCATAATGCAGAGTGTTCCATTTCTGTCAGTGCTGTTTGGAGGAGTGAGTAGTGAGGAGGCTGCACAGAGAAGCCTCCAGGAAGGATACAAGAGAGCATCCTTCAGAGACATCTTTTATGGACTGACACCCCTTATGAGAAATCAGTTGGTGACTGGATGATTCAGATGACAAATCAGAGGAAACAATGTCTCATATCTGTAAATGTATTTCCTCAGTTCCTCTCTCCTTACACCTATTCCTCAAATTTTACTTGGCTAAGATTCAAGCCATGTCTATAAGCATAGCATGTGCAGCTCATCGTATCCGGCAAGCAGCACATGAGAAGCTCATGCTTGTGTCTACACTTGCACACTGGAAGTGCTTGGTGCACAGAAAGTAAACTGAGAAGGCTACAGAAACACATCTGAAAAGGGGAAACTATGGTCCAAAAATAAGACAAATAGTAGACAATGAGAAAATTATTGGCTACACAATGTATCCAACCCATGGTTATAATACAGCAAATGAAAAGTACACACACTTTAAAAGGAAAGGCATGTTCCCTAGGATTGATGTAACAGATGATATATCATGTGTTTAAACTGTTTGCTTGATATATTTCTCTATTTTGGTGGAATTCTGGTTGGAACTAGTGAGCTGTAAAAGGAAAGTTTATTTATATAGCCCATTTTTACATGCAAAGTGCTTAACACAATGCACATAAATGGATAAAACATTTGAACGCAAATTACATTAAAACATCAAATGCAAATTAAAAGCAACAATTATATGACAGCTCAAAGTGTAGAAACCTAGTACTTTTAGTGTAGCTGTGGCAAACTGTGGATTCTCACTGTTCTCTATATACTTTGTAGTCCTATTCCTTAGTCTTCCCCAGATTAACCTCTTAGCACTTAAACATCAGCGGCAGCCGTACTTTCTTCTGGAAACTTGAAACACCAGTGTCTCTACATACAGTCAGCTACACAGCACAGTGAAGACAGTTGGTGATTGAGTAATTGAAGAAAGATAAAAGCAGATAAAGTGCAAACCTGGGTGGAATTAAGATGCATTAATTCAAAGCAGAGGAAAAAAGATCAGTCTTTAGTTTTTAAAGTAGTTCCAGTTGGGGCAGATCTAAATCCTAATGGGAGCTGGTTCCAGCTGTGGGCAGCATTGTGGCTAAAAGCCCTTCCACCTTGTTCACTGTAGTCTGACCTCTGGGCACCACTAGCTGACCGGTCCCTGCACATCTGAGATACCTACCAGGCCTCTACTCAGCAAACATCTCTGGGGTGTTTTGGGCCCAGACCATTGAGAGACTTGGAGACAATCAGTAGGGCCTTACACTGAATCCTGTATTTAACTGGAAGCCAGTGCAAAGACCTAAGGACTGGAGTGATGTGTTCTCTCATTGTTTTTTGGTGGATTCTTTGGAGAGAGAAAAAAAACTCGAAGTATAAAAAATATGCTTGAGGTCACAGTTGTGGTACATAAAGCACAAGAGTCATGCAAGCTGAAACGCAGGCAGTGTAGACATATAGGAGCATATGCGTTGCGTAACACAAGCATCTCGTGTGTATATCAAAACCACGGCTGAAACGCTTGCAATGTAGATGCAGTTTAAGAACCATAAGATACAAGTGAGAAAATTGTGATGTACAGATCAATCAAGACTGATTCTTGAAAGTGTTGAGCAAACAACAGAGAACTCTACCTCCAATGTGAGCATTGTAGGCAACCCCGACGATGCAATGGGAGTTATTGGCTGCTGCTGCAACTTCACCTGCACATCGAGTTCCATGTCTACATGTAAACAGAGAGCACACATAGAAATGTACAGCTTATATGTTTTAATGCCAAGTACCAAGGCACATTTCCAGGATAAAACACCCCAACAGTGTAAACACTGGTGAGAAGGCTTATTCTATAAATTCCACTGGTTTTCCTTTTGTGTAGCATTCAAAGAAGAGGTGTCATCACTGCCCATGCTGAGGTGAACCTCTGAATCGAGTATCAGCAGGGGAATCATTACTCAGAGGATGACAATTCCTTCCCTTTTATTGAGAGCTAACACACCTGTGAATAAATGCTACCCTCCAGTGCCTACAGATAATGGAAATATAGTGGGAAACACCAAACAACAAAAATTGACTGCCTTATCTCCTGCAGCCATTCTACTCTCACAAACATCAGGCAAAACTGTTACAAATGTTCCCTAGTCTTTATGAGGCCAATAGAAGAAATAGAATATGGTGACCATCCTAAAAATCTACCCACAGACTTTCAGTTATGTTCAAATTAAGTCTCAAAATGGTTTAAAACAGAGACTATGACATAATGCTTTTTTTTAAATTAATCTTTTTATATTTCTGTTTTATTGCAGAAAAAGTCTAAATCAGCAAAGGGTGAGTAGCTCAGGTTAGCTGCATTTGGGATTATTGTTTATTGTTACAGAATAAGGGAGAGAAATATGCTGAAATAGCACTTGTGCCGTGAGAGATATGAAGCTTCCTGTGTTCATTTTCATTTGTTTTCATTCCAGTGTCCTACAGACCTACATCAGAACACAGACCTCTTTGAACATCTTGTTTTGTTACTAAGAGGGGCAACTGAATCCATGAGACCAGAGTGAGCTGTGTTTATATTACTGGTACGATTTCCTTAAGAGCCTGTTGCTAAAATTAAAGGACCACCAGTAATAGCCTGAAACCTATGATTCCAATCTCATCAGAATGAACCACACAGTTTCAGATGAATTCTCAAAATTCTTCAAAAATTGTCTGTGTGTGCTGGTTTTAATATAAGAGCATCAAAACACTTGAACATAAGATTAGTTTGATTAAGGCAACACCACCACCTTGTTTAGTAGGCTGAGCAACAGGAGCACTTGTATACACAGGTGGAGGAGGTCCAAGGTAGTGGGAAAACATTTGGTTTAAGCCTGGATTCACTTAAACCAATAAACTAATCATAACCAGATTTTCTAGTCTGGATATCACTCTGCACTCTGAGGGTTTCCCTTGCTGGGCATATTAACTAAGCTAGTGGACTCCAAAACCACACTCCGTATAAACCCAGCAGGCTCTCTGATCACCTGTGACCTGCCGAGCACTACGTCCCTAATGTCAAACCTGGCTTAAAGCCCTGTTTATATTCCTAGATAAAACAGTGGCACCTACTCCAGAAAGAAGATCAGTTGTCAGTGAAACCAAATCCCTGCTCACTACAGTAACTAACCAGTCAGTGGCTCAATGAGGGGAAAAGAAGCAGCAGAATGCAGCTGCAAAGCTACAAAGCCTTTCACTTGACAGTAACTTCAACTCTTTTCCCCACAATGTACATTTTGTTGTAGCAGCTGCTGTACTGTTACATTTAATCTGTGGACAAACACAGAGGCCAACACACCAGAATACCAAGTATGACATGTCTGATGTTATGACCTTGAATACTAACTGACTGAATCTAAGCCCAAGCCAGGTGCAGTTAACTCATCTCTCCAAGGCCAGCTCGTAAACTGCTGGAGGCCTCTCCTTTTAATTGTCTTCTTTGTTTGTTGATCCTCATGAAGGTCACAACATTACTGGGGGCAAAGTTGTCTTCCTCACATGGGAGAAGTTTGAAAAAATTTCATTCAAAGCCTTTTAGTTTTTGTTTGTATGCAAAACAGAAGTGCTCTAGTTGTATAAATTCAGTGCTTTTGGCAAAGAAACTCAATGGTGAAGTTGGTAATGAATGCAGTCATCCATACCGTAGTTACCATAGATATCAAGAAACGTTTGTCTGCACTGTGGTGTAAAGTGGTGTCTGTGCTGGCCAGCAGGGCACTGGGTGGTTTCAAAAACTGCCAAGAAACCAAATTTAAAAATTTTTTTACATTTCATTGTGATGCAGTGGCTGACACTTAAATGTCTATTTGATAAACAGCAGCCCAGATGTGGCTAAGGGTGAAGGCTGGTTATATGCAAAGGTCCATGAGCTCTGACAGTATCGTGGGGAGGTGGAATTACAAGACTAGAGAGTTTGTTATTTCTATGATTTATATTATATTCTTTATACTTTAGGTTCGGGGTAAATGTTAGATTATTTAAACTGATAGACACTTGTTTTGTTGTATTTTTTACTTTATTTTATTGTTGGAAAATCCTTATGATCCCTTGCAGCCTTAAAGCAACAATATGTGACTGTTTTAAAATTAACATATTAGTTTCAAAATCATTTCGATGGTGGCTGACTTTTAATAAGGTGAATGGCATCTCTGCTATTGCTCCTGTGTGCCCATAGCATCCACCGCGTCCTGTCTGAAAAAAGCTTTAATCAGTGTTAACACACCCAAGATGGATGCAGGAGACGTTACCACAGAGCCGACAAATGCTTGCCACCCACTGCCCAATTTAAATGAGCTATTTGATATATTAGGTTACAAAAACGACTATTGGAGATTTACTCAAGTACTGCACTTGGATACATTTTTGAGGTATCTGTTCTTTACTTGAGTATTTTTAATTTTCCGCTACTTCATGCTGTAACTACATTTTAGAGGCACATATTGTACTTTATGCTCCACTACATTTATTGGATATCTTAATTTAGTTGTTACATTTCAGAATCAGATCAATAAACAAAATACATTATAATCATAAGACTTTATTAATCCCCTGTGAGACATTTACAAGCTACCCAGCAGTGATTTAAACAAGCATTTAATATGTTTCAAAGGAGCTCTGCCTTTACCAGCTGCAACATTAAAGTGCTGAACACAATAATGCATCAATAATTATAATCCAATAACATCATATACTGCCCATGAGGGATAATAAAATATAAAATGTGCCATTCTGCATTATAAGTACTTTTACTTTTGGCACTTTAAGTATATTTTAATGGTAATATTTTGTACTTTTATTTAAGTAACATTTTGGTTGCAATACCTTTATTTGTAACAAAGTATTTTTACACTGTGGTATTGCTACTTTTACTCAAGTTAATAATTTGAGTACTTCTTCCACCACTTGGGACATACTGTATAGGAAGTTTGGCTTTGACTGACTTTATTGATTTGTACAGTACAGTTGTCCCTCGGGAGCAGTACTACATCCATCAACGTATACAATATACTGCAATAGTGGACTATGTTCACCACTGTGAGGAAACAAAAAAGATCCAATCAAACACCTTTGACCCTAAAACAATTTAACTTCATGTAACACTATCTTACTTAGTACTTTGGACAGTCTCTCATCTAAATCCTACATGGTGTCACACTTGTTTGTTTGCTCCCAAAAAAGTGGCAGAAGTAGTTGTGCAAAGAATGAGAAAGGAGAACCTGAGAGAGGTACACACATTCTCACTGCCAAACAGTTTACTGGTCCCTGCGTGAAGTGGGTGTCATTCTTCAGAGTGCTACAAAAATTGTTGTCTGCTTTCCAAAAAGAGCGTTCGGATTCTGTTAATCAATCCAACAAGCCCTTTGTTTGACACACTGAGGCCCTGCTGTCTGGAATTCATCTGGAACTACTCCTGCCGTACAGTGGGCATTTGGCCTTGTACTAAAGGGATAAAGACTTGATAAAGGGATAGAGGGATGGCTGAGGGAGCAGAGGAGTGGATCTTTTACTTGGCTGTGACAGGATGGAGACAGTGTGGTATTCTTTCTTACATATTTTCATTGCGAGAGTCGTAACGTGGTGTGGGATCATGGTCATTTCCATTGACATCATAACTTGCCAGCTGGTCCTACACAAATGAAAAAAGAACAAAGAGGAAATGTAAACAAGAAAACAGCTCCTTTTTAGTGAAGTTTATCAACAGGAGGGGTATATACTGATGTTACATGTGAAAATTAAATTCTTATGGACGTTTTAAAAATTAGGGCTGCATCCATATTTGGACTTTTTAGATGGATAACACATACATAGTTCTGAGCCAGATCAGGGTGGTTCCTTTCAATGCCATCATCCAGTATGGTGACCACCACATCTTTGCCAGTGTAGCCCCTCTGCCACGCTGGTAAAATGTTCATCTCGGAGCGACAGCGGCTGCTCTTGTTGTTGCAGTGCTGAAGACAAACACAGATTACAAACAGATTATTTTGTCTCCTCTTGGTTCAAAATTGAAAGAGCAGCATGAATATGCTAGTGTGCTGTACTTACAATGTACCACATGTTGGACCATTTAGGGTCATTGAAATGAATGAGGTCTTGGTTACGTGGGGCATGCCTCTTCACGCGTGGTTTTGCTACTTGCTGCTGGGCCCAGTCCACCTAAGGATAGAAGTGGAAATGGCAAAACTCTTTATTTCAGTTTCTAGTGTAAAATAATTAGAAGCTCTCTTATAGATTATTAGATTAGATTAGAATGAACTTTATTGTCATTATCCTTGTACAACTACAAGGCAACGAAATGCAGTTTAGAATCTAACCAAAAGTGCAATAACAGCAGTGCAGAGTGCACAGTATCTACAGTCAGAACTAATTTACTGTTTGGCTATGTACAATTGATATTAACAGTAAGATATGCAGGGTAATGTACGATGTACAACAGACTGGATTCAAATTACAGTAATGGATAAGGTACATTAAGTTTATAGAACACTAGTGCAATGGGATGAGATGGAATGAAATAGTGCAGAATAAGAAGATAATAGGTTACATGAGTGAACACTTCAATGGATGTAAATAGTGCAAAGATAAATATACAGTATCTGCATAGGAACAGTGTGCAAATGAATACAGAGCAGTATTCTGTGAGTCAAGTGTGTGCAAATTAGCAGATCACTTCAGTGTTACAGGTAATAGAAGTGTATTGCATTAGTCCCAGGAGAAGAGATGACAAGGGGTGAGGTGTGTGTAGTGGTATAGAGGAAGGCAGTGGGGGGTCAACGGGGGACAGAGTTCAGTAAGGAGACAGCTGTGGGGGAAGAAGCTGTTCCTGGGTCTACTGTTCTTGGTCCGGAGGCTCCTGAAGTGCCTCCCAGAGGGTAGGAGGTCAAACAGTTTGTGAGCAGGGTGAGAGAAGTCCTTGAAAATGCTGTGAGCACGTCGAAGACAGTGTTCCCTGTGGACACCCCCAATGGCTGGAAGTGGAGTCCTTGTGATGCTTTGGGTAGTTTTCACCACCTGCTGCAACACCTTGCGGTCAGAGACAGAGCAGTTTCCATACCAGACTGTGATACAGCTGGTAAGGATTATAATTAATTTATTAATTTCATGTATGTAAAGATACTGAAACTACTATATGTAAGCATCCTAACAAATATAGCCCTGACTTTTGCAGTTACACAAGTATCCACACACACAAACACATCAGGTTCAGAGGGAAATAAGTTGAATGGAGCCACTGACTTTTGCCATAAACCTCTGCAACCACAATGTCTGATTCTTAGTATTAATGTTAAGTATAGATAATGAAGTGTCTCAGTAATGCCTTCTAATGCTATTGATCTCCTGCCACCAGTTTCACACTATTCAACTGACTGACAGCTGACTGCGCAAAGAGACAAGCATGCATTCAGTGAAGCACTAAAACCAACAGTGTTCTGGTGTCACAATGTCCAAAATGATTAAATACATGTTTTTAAAGTTGACCTAAAAGCCGCTAGCTCAGTTATGGACCGTAGCTCTGGTGGTAGGGAGTTCCAGAGCCTGAGGCCATACACGGCAAAAGAACGATCGCCCCATTTTTTTGTATCGAGACCGAGGGACAACCAAGGACAGATGCTCTGAGGAGTGCTTTGCGTGGAGCATAGACAGAGAGAACATCTGACAGGTATGGAGGAGTGAGGCCATTCATGGTCTTAAATACAAATAGTAGCACCTTGCTGTATCTTGACCAGTAGTCAAGGTACAGCGCGTCTAAGTAGAGGTCCCAAGAGACGTTACTCTGGTAAAGGGATCTCATACAGTTAACTCAGCTTCCTACCCTTTTGCAATATACTTACCTAGAAATTGTTGGTTTGGCTGTGGACATGGCTGGGGAAAAAGAAGCAGGTGCCACAGCTTCCAAAGGCTGATGATAGCTCTACAAATCTTTAGTTTGTCCAGAAACAAAACCGAACTCCTACAGAAATGCTGGCGATACCTGTTCACATGGGACTGCAGAAGAGCGCATTGAGGGGAAAAATGTGAAAATCCATAGCACTTACTGGAGCTTATCTCTGGAGTCATTTTAAACCCAAACATCAACAGTGTGTAGATGCCTGATTACAGACAGATCACCGTCAAGTCAAAATCTTTTTTTTTTTTTTACAGAAACTTCATGAAATTAGGAAAAATCACAAAGTTTCAGAGTAAAAGAATAACACTAAATATTTTTTATAAACAGCTAAAGTGGCTCTGAGGTCATATTGGCCCCAAACATAAGAACAGTGCAATAATAACACACAGTCTGAGTGGCCTCATCACCTTTAAACCTGTTTTATCGTGTTGTATCCATGCTTTCTCTAAATCTGTTTGGTTTTATCCAAAATGTCTCTAGATGGTGACATCACTCTAAAACATTTTAGTTGCTTTTTAAATGATTCTTTTACTTTTTGAATCTCTATTTATTTAATTGCACTTGATTAAAATTTCTTTTATGTAATTAATTGTATTTTTTAGGGGAAAAACCACAGTGCAATTTTCATTTCTCCCAACTGAAACTCAGTCCTAGAGAGCGAACCTGTTTCTTCCTTTGAACCCATGAACCTATTTTTATTAGGTTTGGGGGTATAACCTCAGAAAATGATACTATGTTCTTATTATTTAAGTTGAAAACCAAATCCTGCTCAACCATTTTAAATCAAAATAGGTGTGCAGCATTATCACACCACTACTAAACTGATGAAACAGAAAAAACACAGTTTGACAGAAATATGTGAAGCACTGCCAGTGTAGTCCACTAAACTATGCCCTGGGTTGGCACCTCTGCTTGGAAGGCTTTAGACAAGAGTAAAAATGTGTTCATGTGATCATGCCTTCTCTGTTGTACATTTTGACTCCACTTGAAAGAAAGTGATACAGGTCTCACCATGGGATCCATATGGATGAAGCTGTGGGGGCCCTTCAAAGAGAATGTCGCTCTGCGAACCACCCTGCTGTGGTAGAAATGGTAATGATCCTCAAGGCTTCCTATCTGATGGAACACACACAGAAAATTAATGCAGACATTTATTTACTTTACTATATATATCTGAGATGCTGTTACCTACTGATGTTGGCTGACTTAAAAAAAACAACATAAACCTGATTTTACAAGTTTTCTGTATATGTTTATGTATATTATAGAATTTAATAAACATACATGCTCTCTCTTGACTGCCCCCAAAAATGTGGGCAGGAGTTGCAGCATGTCCACTGCTGGCACACCACATGTGTCTCCACCCTCTCTCAATCACAGGTATTTTGTGTTCTTCTCTTTTACAGATGTCGGGCCTATTTACTAGCTAAAACCAGTTAATTTTGGTACCCATTACTAATAATGTAATTGCTAAAAAGGACTTATGTAAAGTGGTAACTAACATACATCTCTTTAAACAAAACTCAAACCATAGACAAGACAGCCAAAAAATGTCAGTCTCAACTATGTTACAAACTAAGACCGTTATCCTAAAATGATATGCACATAACAACCATCTAGGCCATGAATGTACAGGACCTCATAGTGAATTGCTCATTTAAACCATGTTATTTTGTTATGTTGTCATTAATAAGAGCAACTTTTGGCCTGTTGTGAAAACTTCTTCTGGCTGGTGTTTATCCATTTTATTTTGTATTAGGTCTATTACAGTTGTACGTTTTGGAATTGCATTAAAAATCACTTCGCACCAACAAATGTAACAATATTAATGTTCATAATGGTTCTGCAGCTGAGCATTTCCCCTCCCACACATAGCTAACATTAAATACTTAGTTATCTATATTTCATCCAGGCTGTCGGAGCTTTTGAACCTCCACTACACCCCTCTGTTAAAAAAGATAAGAGAGGATTTCACACACTGGTGCAACCTCCTACTCTCACTCATCGGCCAAATCGCTACAGTCAGAATGAAAACACTCCCACAAATTATCTGCTTATTTTCAGTGCTTCCCACAACACCCACAGATAAATGGCTTAAATCACTTGATTCATTAATTTCGCAATTTTACTGGAAAAACCAAGAAACCCCAAATCTCCTGGTCTACACTTAAGAAGAACAAAATCACAAGGTGGCCTTGAAGTGCCAAACTTTCAATATTACTTCTTCTCAAATCATCTACAATATTTAGTCAAATGGAAAAAAAAATATTACAAATACATTCAAAAATAAGACAATAACTTGTGGTTACAACTAGAACAAAATCAGTGCCAAAAAAAACTTGCCTTCCTACCGCACAATCAAGACAATGAATTGCTGTAAGAATATCACTGTCTCCTGAACTCTGACAGCCTGGTAGAAAGCAAACAAATCACTAAATCACAACTCCAACCTGGCACAACCCTGATTTTCGACTGCACAACAATCCACTTAGAATCATGGCCACACTGGGCAATCACCGGTTTGAAAATAACCAGCTCCTATCATTTAATACACTAGTCCAAAAGTACAGAGTTGGGGGAAGAACAGTTCCTCCAACCTCCAAACCTCCCATGTTAGCTGAGGAGATAACGAAAGACACCTGGGGCCTATTTCAAGAAGGCGGTTTTGTCGAAACTCAGAGTTTGTTAACCCCGAAATGAGGGAAACTCTGAGTTTTCGGTTTCAGAAACGGAGGTAACTTAAACCCGTGAAGCGGGGTAAGTTAAACCCGTTTCACAAAGAGAGGTAATCTAAACTCAGAGTCAGTTACTATGGCAACTTACTCTGTGAACCTAACCTGCTTGGGAGCAGGTTTTGTTCGGGAAACTCAGATCTTATTCAGCTTGGGGACTGCTGATGGAAATGTCCTTCATTTAAACAACTCTCATTACGAGTGAAATAATGAAATTGGTAGTAAGACTTGAAATTACATTTACTACAAAAGTAAGCACAGAGAAGGCATGGCAGTAAAGGTTTACAGCTAAGTTCATTTGCTGTGCTGTACTGTAAGTCCTGCAGCCTAGAGAGCATAAGTGCACTTTTCAATCTCTTCATAGTTACAGCTGCACAGTGAACATTAGCTGGAGGCAGCTGAACATATAGTATATAACAAAACTCAGTACACCCCTGTACCATATCACTACAACCTTAAATGATTCAAAACTGTACCATCTTATTTTGTCTTATTTGATATGTAATAAAAAAAAAACTGGCTAAACAGACTAAATACATATGGGCCTCAACATGTCAATGTGATCATTGTGATTATTGCAACAAAAGGCAATTTACCTGTGACTGCTGCAACACAAACAATTGTGCCTGTGATTTCCAAACCATTTTCCATTCTTTATTAAAAATAGGGTGTCGTGTCCAATAACATCACTGATGACAGTGCTCAGAGTGAACCAAAACAGCAAAGTTGTGGACTATAGAATGAAAACAGTGAAGGATGCTAAAAGCCCAGCTGTAAGGAGAACTTCAGAGTCCAATGACAAACTAATTCTCATTCAAAAATATGAGCATCACCTTTCTCATTTTGCTGCCCTCATTACTGTAGCTTTAAATCTGCAATAATGGCCTTTTTCACTGCCTGGGGACTCAATATTGACATATCTTCACCTTTTAAGTTGAATTTGTGAACCTGTCAGCAAGCAGTTGCTTATTTACACACCCAGCAGTTACAGAGCATTATTGCCATTTGGAGTCACGTGTCTGGTCATCAGGTCCAATATATACAGTACTTTCTTTTAGCTCTGTTTTTGGTCTCCACCAACTCCAAAATATCTGATTCTTAATCTACGAACTGCTTGAGTATGTTCACCAGTTAGCTGCTAGCACCAAGCCTCGTCCACAAACAGTGTGTACACACAATTCTGTGCTGAAACCGTGTATACAAACAATTTATGCACAATTTTATTCAATATTCTGTATCAATATTTTCTTACCTTAATTTGTTCATACTCTGTGAACAAATTTAATACTGCCTCACCCCATGTGTATGAACAAATGATGAAGGCCTGGCTGGCTAAAAAATGCAAACACATTTTAACTGAAACTATATTAATTAAAAAGGTTTTAATAGCTAATATAATTGATTAATATAATTTAAGGCTATAATGATTAATTTACTAATGCATTGACCAAATGTAGCATATTAAATAAACATGAAATTAATGCCCTGTCATTCTGATTAATCACAGTTTTAATTGAAATAAATTAAATTTAAAAAACTGTTCTAGTTTATAAGTATATAGAGAAATGGGGGCATGGCAGCAGGCTACTTGAAAACCACTGGAATGCGCCTGTCATTTTAGAATGATTCTGATTTACACTAACATACACACAATAGAAAGAACAAAATTGGCTGGTGTCATGAATATGATGGTAATGTCTCCTGCACTTATTTTGTGCACAAGGTAAGAACATTTCTATGCGCATGTTAGTGAATAAGGTCCACTGCCTGTCTGCCGTTTGGTGTTTACAGTCTTATGCAAAAGTTTAGGCACCCCTTGATACATAACAGATTTTGGTGATTTTTTATTTGAACAGATGTTAACACAGTTTCTCTTGGAAATGGAAAAAATGCACAATATTTTCTGCAAACAGTGATGCATAGTTACTTCTTATGCCATAAATTGAACAAAAATAAAAAATAAAAACATTATTATGGCATGGTGCAAAAGTTTGGGCACCCTACACAATCAGTACTTAGTAACACCTCCTCTGGCAGATATCACAGCTTGCAAACGCTTTTCATAGCCAGCTAAAAGTCTTTCAATTCTTGTACTTGGGATCTTCTCCCATTCTTCCTTGCAAAAGGCTTCTAGTTCTGTAATATTCTTTGGTCGTCTTGCATGCACAGCTCTTTTAAGATCTACCCACAAATTTTCAATGATGTTTAAATCAGGGGACTGTGATGGCCATTCCAAAACCTTCAGCCTGCGTCTCTTGAGGTATTCCATAGTGGATTTCGAGGTATGTTTAGGATCATTGTCCTGTTGTAGAAGCCATCCTCTTTTCAGCTTCAGCTTTTTTACAGATGGTGTGATGTTTGCTTCCAGAATTTGCTGGTATTTAGTGGAATCCATTCTTCCCTCCACCCGTGCAATGTTTCCTGTGCCACTGGCTGCAACACAACCCCAGAGCATGATAGATCCACCCCCATGCTTAATAGTTGGCAAGGTGTTCTTTTCATGAAATGCTGCTCCTTTTTTTCTCCAAACATGCCTTTGCTGATTGTGTCCAAAGAGTTCTATTTTAACTTCATCAGTCCACAGCACTTGTTTCCAAAACGCATCGGGCTTCTGTAGATGTCCTGTTGCATACTTCAGACGTTGGATTTTATGATGGGGACGCAGATAAGGTTTTCTTCTGCTGACTCTTCCATGAAGGCCTTGTCTGTGCAAGCATCGCTGCACAGTGGAACGGTGCACCACCACTCCTGAGTCTGCTAAATCTTCCTGCAGGTTTTTTGCAGTCAAATGTGGGTTTTGATTTGTCTTTCTGACCAGCATACGAGCAGTTCTGTCCGAGAGTTTTCTTGGTCTTCCAGATCTCATCTTGACCTCCCCAGTTCCCCTGATCTGCCATCTCTTAATTACATTTCTTACTGTGGAAACTGCAAGCTGACAACGCTTTGCTATCTTCTTGTAGCCTTCTCCTGCATTGTGGGCATCAATAACTTTCATTTTCAGGGTCTTACACAGCTGCTTAGAGGAACCCATGGTTGCTGGGTGTCCGCAAGTGTGTGCACAAGGTTTGAAGAGTCAAGGTATTTGTACAGCTTTGAAATTGGCATTTACCAATGACAGCTGTTGCTGTGCATCAGATCTAATGAGCTGATTAAGGTCTGAAACCTTGTGAGAGACTTTGAGACTCTGGAACTCTTAGGGTGCCCAAACTTTTGCACCATGCCATAATAATGTTTTTATTTTTTATTTTTGTTCAATTTATGGCATAAGAAGTAACTATGCATCACTGTTTGCTGAAAATATTGTGCATTTTTTCCATTTCCAAGAGAAACTGTGTTAACATCTGTTCAAATAAAAAATCACCAAAATCTGTTATTTATCAAGGGGTGCCTAAACTTTTGCATAAGACTGTATCTATCGACTAAAACAAATAAAACAATACTAAACAGTCAACAAGATAATCATAGAACATAAAACAACATGTAGACAATGCCATTTAGAGGCAGATAAAACTGATTAAAGATCAAAAGCCTGTTTAAAAAGGTGCGTACTATGGGTAGCACTGACCATCTTCCAACTAAATGCAGATATCCACTCCTCAATCCTCTAACTATCACCAAGACAACAAGCTTTCTAAACCGAAAAAGTAAAAAATGATCACATACCAACTCCCCCACCCCCCACCCCCACTGATCAGCTGCCCCCATCTTCACACTTATCTTGAACAGGTCACTGGAACTGTGTGAAGTCCCCTCCTATTTCAAATGCTGCGTCATCATCCCAGTCCTCGTGAAATCCTCCATCAGTGGATCCTCTTTGTGGACTTCAGCTCAGCATTCAACACCATCATCCCAGACCATCCTCCACTCCAAACTGACCCAGCTCACTGTGCCTGCCCCCACCTGTCAGTGGATCACTAGCTTTCTGACAGACAGGGAGCAGCAGGTGAGGCTGGGGAAAACCACATCCAGCACCTGTACATTAAGCACAGGTGCCCCCAGGGATGTGTGCTCTCCCCTCTGCTGTTTTCACTCTACACCAATGACTGCATCTTGAAGGACCCCTCTGTCAAGCTCCTAAAGTTTGCTGATGATACAACGGTCATTGGTCTCATCTGAGACGGTGACGAGTCAGCCTACAGACGGGAGGTTGAGCAGCTGGTCCTGTGGTGTAGCTGCAACAACCTGGACTCGTCACTCTGATGACTCCATGACTGTATCTCGGGATACAGCAACCACCACAGTGCAACAAATTGAGAATTGCAATATAATCATTGTATATAAGTTTGAAAGCTCTTCTGCTGTAATGCACATATATTTATAATTACTACTTCTCTTTTCCTCTCATTCCTTTCCTATTTTTGATTGTACATATTTCCTACATGAATGCATAGTTTATTCTCATTTTATTGCTCTATTTTTATTTTTATTCTCATCATTTTCCATTCCTGTTCCATTCCTTTTTTGTTTGTCTTCTCTTGCCTTCTGTCCTTGCTTTTTGCTCCTTTCCTATTCATTTATTGATTTGATTTGTTTTATACATCATCCATCCATTAGCTATACCACTTATTGTGAATAGGGTTCAGGGGGCGCTGGAGCCTATCACAGCTGACATCGGGCGAGAGGCGGGGTTCACCCTGGACAGATCACCAGTCTATTACAGGGCGTTTTGTTTTATTTACTTTTTAATTCATTTCTCTTTTTTAATTACTTTAATTTTATTTCATTATTATTTAATTTATTCATTCATTCATCTTTCTTATACATAAACACAGCAGAAGGAGTTGTTTAAGGGATACCTCACCCTGTCCCCAGCAGTTGGTGCATGTCATTTGGGGGACTCACTGGAGTGGACAACATGGGGGGAGGCTGGGTCACTACTTTCTTTTGCTCAGCTACACATAGCACCACTGGACTGCTGACACCCCCTTAGACAAGCTCCTCCCTGTTTGGGAGGGGGATACATCATTCAGTGGGTCAGGCCTCTCCTGTCAAGGTCAGGGGCTGATCCAGAGCTGCATAGTTCAGATTCCAGCAGTGAACAATCACAATAAATCATGATAAATAATACAACAAAGGAAAAGCTTAACTTAACCATAAATCAAGGATGCTGCTGTCCACACCCTGTTGATTTGCTCTGGAGCTTCCCAGTGGAGGCCTGCTCTTGTTCTTATGCTGGTGGTTCAGGGCAGAAACATAACCAGTACACTCCCTGGCTTTATTATTTATTTGTTTATTTGTCTAAAACTCACTCCCACCCCTTCACTTCTTCCTAATTGTTTTAATTTTATTTTATTCTTTTATTACTCCCTTCTCCATCCCTTTTATATTAGACCTCACAGTTGTATATACATACTGTACATTATACACACAAAGTAAAAGTAAACCCCCCCTAGTACGTCACTTTTGTAACTGTGTCCTTGTCTTGTTGTCTGTGTTCTGACCTCTGTCCTGTAAAGGTGGTAATTTGTGTTGCAATTTTAAAAGCATGAAAGAAAAAAGAAACAATTAATAATAAGCGTTTAATAGGCTATGAGCGTTTTGGTCCATACTGCCTACTCAGCAGGTTTTCCATTCGCGCC